ACCCATTTAGCTCCCACATATGAGTGAGAACATACGGCATTTGTCTTTTTGTGCTTGCCTTATTTCACTTAACATAATGACCTCCAGTTCCATCCATGTTTTTGCAAATGACAGGATTTTATTTTTTATAACTAAATAATATTAATAATATTCCATTGTGTATATGCAGTTATTATCTGTTCATCTGTTGATATACAATTAGGTTGATTTTTTTTTTGCCTTTTTTAATTGACTGTTTTGTAAGCATTTTGTTTCACAAAAATCTCCAACTGAAGTTAATAATATGATATTGTGAAATATATGGTCTTTGATCCCATTTCTTTGGCATGCAACTCCTAAAATCCTTAGAATCTCCAAAGTAATGCCTGTTTGTGTGCTAGTGATTGACTGATGGCTGACGGCCCCTACGTAGTTTCAGGATGCGGGTTGTTTACCTGAAAGACCAAGGCACCATTAGAGGGGTGGAACTTTCAGCCTCACCCTATCCCCGGGGAGAGAAGAGAGGCTGAGGGTTAAATTGATCACCAGTGGCCAATGATTTAATCAATCATGCCTGTGTAATGAGGCTTTCATAAAAAACCCAAAAGCCCTGTGTTTGGAGAGCTTCTAGATGACTGAACAAGTGGAGGTTTCTGGAAGGTTGTGCCTGGAGTGGGCATGGAAACTGTGTTTCTTCCACCATAACTCACCCTATGCATCTCTTACATCCAGCTGTTCATTTGTATCCTTTGTAATATCCTTTATAATAAACTGGTAAACATGTTTCTGGAGTTCTGTGGCCACTCTAGCAAACTCATAGAACCCAGAGGCGATTGTCAGAACCCCAACTTGAAGCTTTTCCATCAGCTATTCTGGAGGCCCAGACTTGTGACTGGTGGGGCCATGGGGTTTGTGGTACTGAGCCCTCAACCTGTGAGATCTAACACTATATCCTGGTAGATTGTGTTGGAGTTGAGTTGGAGGACACCCAGCTACTGTCCATTGAAGAACTTATTTCTTGCTTGATGTGTGGGGAGAAACTGCCACACATTTGGTTGCACAAGTCTTCCGTGGTGATTGTTGTGTTGTGAGAGCAGAGGAAAAACAGTTTGAGTTTTTTAGTCTCAGACAGCTCCATAAAACTCTGTGACTACGCCAGTGAGCATTGGCAAAGAACAAAAAATTATTCAATTTCTTTTACCAGTTCCATAAACTGGAAGTGATTCATAGCATTTGCACACATATTTGTAATGTTTTTGACAGCTATATCCATGACACTTCTCGTAGTCTATTTTAGAAAGTCCTGCACAGTGTTTCCCACTCAATTCTGCATCAGTAGTATACCTTCTTTTTAAATTAAAAACTTGTCCATTCTATGTTAATCTAGAAAGATAATTTTATTATAATATAATCAAAACTAATAAATATTTCAGATTAATCATCATCAATTACAGTTTACATAGGTTATCACTAATTTGTGCTGTCTGCATTGAGGACTAAGCTCTGATTTTTTTTTTTTTAATCTTGCTCAAATTCCTATCTAAGGAGTCTGGGGAGTCATGCCTTTATAAACCATGAATTCACATCAGATGGGTTTTATTTAACTCTGTATATCATGACTTACTTTTCAGTCTGACTCTGGGATAACATGGAAGAAAATAAAAATGTTTTACCCCAAAACATGTTTCTCTGCCGTATTTTGAAATGTCCCTGCAAAGCCTTCCCTTATGGGAAAAAATCCACATTCTATAGAGAATCTACTTTCCCCTTGTTTTCCTTCCTTCCTTTCCAGATCCAGGCACCTTTTTAGGTCCGATAAGAAACATTTTACAACCTGTTCTCTCTGAGGTCTGCTATCTGAGAGCTTCCTCTTCACAATAAAACTTGGTCTCCACAATCCTTTATCTTAACCTGAACATACGTTTCCTTTCTATTGATCCCAGGTCTTCAGAAAAACTCAACTAATTGTAAACCAGAAAATGTTGATAGCCTGGAACCCCCCTGCCTCCTTTACCACTTTGAGTTGTCCTGCTTTTCTGAACCAAACCAATGTATTTCTTAAATGTATTTGGTTGATGTCTCATGCCTCCCTAAAATATATAAATCTATAATATATATAAAATAAATGAATATATATATAATATGTAAAACTAAGCTATACCCTGACCACCTTGGCACATGTTCTCAAGGCTTCCTGAGGGCTGTGTCATGGCCACGGTCATGGTTATTTGGCTCAGAATTAATCTCTGAAAATATTTTATACAGAGTTTGATTTTTCTCATCAACAGCATGATATATTCAAATATATTATAATCTGTGTCTTTGATTTAATGCTGCTTGGAGTAGACCATATTATGGATGTGTTGTATGATTTTAACTGCAACTGCTATGCTTTTAGATTGCTTCCACACTATGCATCTATGTAGAATGCTTCATTGCTCCTGTGTGCATTTTGAGTATTTTTCTAGGGTAGATTCTGAGACATAAAATTACTACAGTTTTAGAAGATTTCTTAGTCATGTAAAATATTAGTAGATACTCCCTGATCACTATCCAAAACGTCATTTTACACTCCCTTCAACAGTACAGAAGAGTACTCCTTCCCTTGTATCCTTATCCACTCTTGGCATTTTTTTTCTTTTCTTTTCTTTTTTTTCTTTTTAGGCTCTGTCATCCAGGCTGGAGTGCAGTTGTATGATCATGGCTCACTGCAGCCTCAACCTCTTGGGCTCAAGTGATCTTTCCACCTCAGGTTCCCGAGTAGCTGGGACTACAGGCACATGCCACCATACCTGGCTAATTTTTCTATTTTTAGTAGACACAGGGTTTCTCCATGTTGCCCAGGCTGGTTTTGAACTCCTGTGCTCAAATGATCCTTGGCCTCTCAAAACTGTGGGATTATAGGCCCATGTGCCACTGAGCCTGACCTTACTCTTGGCATTTTAAGTCTTAAAAAATTTTGCCAATGTATGAATGAAAATCATTTTTAGTATCCATTTCCTTGATAACTAATGAGATTGAACATTTTTTCGTATTTTAGTAGTAGTATTTCATTCTTAACATAATACTTGTATTTCTTCAGAAAATAACAAAATAGTTATCTAAATAAAATACATTGTAATCCCAGCACTTAGGGAGGCCGAGGCGGGTGGATCACGAGGTCAAGAGATCGAGACCATACTGGTTAACATGGTGAAACCCTGTCTCTACTAAAAATACAAAAAATTAGCTGGGCATGGTGGCGCGTGCCCGTAATCCGAGCTACTCAGGAGGCTAAGGCAGGAGAATTGCCTGAACCCAGGAGGCGGAGGTTGCGATGAGCCGAGATTGTGCCATTGCACTCCGGCCTGGGCAACAAGAGTGAAACTCCGTGTAAAAAAAAAAAAAATGCATACCCTGTGTTCTTTCTTTGGTTCTCTTTTGATGTTGTGAAAGCTCAGAAAATGCTAGAAATGCTAGAATGATTTTGAGTACCTGTGGTCCAGTTGTTGTTGGGGCAGGTCGATTTTCTTTTTGCATCTCTATGAACAAGAATCATTTGCATTGCTGATTTCTACAATTTACAGAGCTGTAAAACTGCTCAAAGACAATGAAAGGAAAGAACTATTATAGAATCAAATTACTCAGTGGGGTATACCAGACAACATCTAGCATTCCATAGGACATCCAGCAGTCTTTCACTGGTTTTCTGAAAGATAATACATTTAAAGCTCTAACACATTGTCTGGCTCTAAGTGAGAGCTCAATAAATTTAATTTGCTTCTCCATTGTTAAAAGAATGAAAAACAAGATTATTAAGAATTTATAGCATTTCTGTGGAACTACAGTTTCCTGGATAGGTGCTGTGTCTAGATTGACTTTTGATTTCACTGGGTCTTGCACAGTGCCTGGGAGCATTTTTATACATGGTCAGTAATTAAAAAATTTATTTCCCCACCTCTTAATACTATCACAGTTGTTCAGTAATAGTTTGATTGGATAGAGCTATGTTCAAATATGTTCTGATTTATTCCCCTATCTGGAAAAAACATGTATGTTGTGAGAAAATAGGCTTGTCTTACAATATTATGTATCATGTATTTTCATACTGGGGTTAACAAATACATTCTAAGCACTGAAACTGGTGGCCTTGAAAATGGCTAGACTAGCTGTTTTCTTTCATAGTCCAAACTGTGTGAATATAGCTAAACAAAAAATCTGGCTCTATTATAATAGCAAATTCGATTTTGTGTGTAGAGTCTTAAGGCGTGATTATACTGTTTCTTACCATGAATAGTGATTTTTTACACATGATAAGGCAGGCTAGCATATTCACATACATTACGGCTAGAATAATCCATTGCTTTAAAAATATGATTTTTACCTGCTTTTTAGTTTGAGTGTTCTATAAAAATTTCTTCTTAACTGAAAAAAATATGCAGAGGCTAATGTAGACTGTAAAATGAAGGAGAAGCTTAGCTTTACTGTGGAGTCTGGGTCTGGGTGTAACCTAACTAGCTAGAGGATATGCAATTCCTGATTGACAGCAGGTCCAGCATTATGCAGATTTTGTAAGGGAGAACACTCAGCTCAGAAACAGTGATGAGAGGCCCTGTTAGGAATTACTACATTCACTAGTCATATCTTTCAGTTTTCTGTCTACTGGATTTGTAAATAAATAGCACAAAACAGTTCCTCTTTTGTTTTTATTAAAGTGATACTGCAATGCAGTTCAGTCTGTCAGCTAGGCATACATGTGTGAAATTTGATATTCTCACTAAATTAGCTAATTTTTAGCTGTGTTCCATGCTTATCTCTAGACCTTTGTGTATTAAATCCTGTCTCGAGCTGTTCCCTTTATACACAAGTGTGTTTTGCTTGTGCCTTCCTGTCTTCTTCAGTGAGAAGCTTTATGTAGGTCAGGCTTGGCTTAAGCAGATTTCCTGAACCTGCGTCAGCTTAAGCTGGAGGAATTTTAATAAACCCTCCCCTGTAGGCGTGGGCCTAAATGAGGCTAGCCTAGTTAAGCCTGATCTTTTTCTGTTTGTGAAAAGAGCTGAGCAGAGCTGAAGGCTGCATGGTGGTTTCAGAAACTGCCTACTTAATTTGAAAAGAACAATGGTAGGAAAGGCTAGATCTTCCAATTTTACCTTATCTGAAAAGCTTGATTTGCTAAAGCTTGTGAAGCCATATGTGAAAATTCTCGAAGAACACACTAATAAACATTCAGTAATAGTGGAAAAGAATAGATGTTGGGATATCATAGCAGTTAACTATAATGCAATTGGAGTAGACCGCCCTCCTCGAACAGCACAAGGCCTACGCACCCTTTACAAAAGGCTCAAAGAATATGCCAAACAGGAGCTATTGCAGCAAAAAGAGACCCAATCAGATTTTAAAAGCAATATTTCTGAGCCAACCAAGAAAGTTATGGAGATGATTCCCCAGATTTCCAGTTTTTGCCTGGTAAGAGACAGGAACCACATACAAAGGTAAGCTTTATTTTATTTTGTTATGGAAAATTATGGCGCCTCCTATCCATTGGGCTTTGGCTTAGTTGTGACAGAGATATGCATAGTAAGCATCCCCACAACGGGAGCAATGAATAGTGTCTTTGTTTTGCATTTTTTAAAAAGAGAAAAGTGAGGCTATGAGGAATTTTTCTTTTGCATTTAAGCTACTTTTTAACTGTCTTCCCCTCCCCTTTCCCCCTTGTAGTTTCTAAAAGTAAAGGTTAGGGAGGAATAAGTGGGATGAAATTTGTGACATCACTTCATAAACTTTTTAAGCTTTAAAATTAAATTATTTAGTTTGCTTTTGAGAGATACTTTTTTTAAATTTAAGATTACATTTCACTGGAATTTTAAATTTTATATAAAATTTATATAAAGTTAGCAGTTTCTAGAGAAATGGAACCTTTGCTTTTTTAGGAAATGTCATTGTCTACACTTAATGAATATGCATTAACTAACAAATAGAACTAAAATCAATAAGTAAACTTGTTAATGGCATGATTGTGTATATAAAGACAGTTTAAATTATTTTTCTAACACATTTAAAATAAAGATGAACACAACTAAAGGGAGCTAATGCCTAATTAGGGATTCAGTTTACTTAATAAAATTTAAGGTTTTTGTTCTTTTTATTCCTTAATGGTCTAGTTTCACTTTGATCTTGGTTCATATAGGAAAGAGTAAGCTTTCTTTTACTGTTTTGCAAGGATATCAAATTATGAATTTTAAAATACCCCTAAGAGCAACTGGATTTTTTAGAGTTAGAAGCAATTTTTTGGTTAAACTTGTGTTCTATGTAATTATTTGCCTTGGAATTTTCAAAACTGTTATCTTGCCACTAATTTGGATTGTAACCTCTGGCAGAATATAAAAATGGCAGCTACATTCTTATTCTGAACCATTTAGGGTAATTTAAACAAATTGTAAACTCCTTATTAGTTTGAGGGGGCTTTGAAACAAAGCTTTACACAATGTGCTTTTCTATTGGTGGGAGAGGCATTATATAAGCAAATGATTGATTATTGTGAAATCCCTTTGAAATTAGGAGATAAACAGAACAAAACACTTTGTAGCAAAGTGTATATATTATTTTGGTAATTTACTAGGAAAGTATTTTTGAGCCTAGCTTCTTACCAGATACTGCTTATTTCTACTTGATAGCACAGTAAAAAAATATCACCAGTGGGAATCCAGGACATGAATACACAGTGGATTAATTCTTGGGGCCACTGGTTAAAATGTTCACTGTGATGACAAATGATGAAATGCCAATAGCCGGATATCCAGAAAACTACACAGTAAAATTGTTTTATGCTGTGCTGCTTATGCGAATTTTCTCCCCCTTGAACCATAGAGAAAAGTGTTTTTTTGCATTGCAGGTATAAAACTGTACCTTTTGGCTAGTAGCTATAAATGTTTATAATTTGAAAACTACATGTAGAAACTAGTTTTAGTTGCATATTTAAAAAATACAGTGAGTATAGAAGAGAATTACATACAGTGAGTATATAAATATACAAGTATCTGATTACATTTTGACCATTTGTGTGTATATATATACAATATTCACATACACACAAAATCTTTTGGAACATCAATGTTTCTGTGATAAAAATGAGTTGATTTGTGCATTTCTATACCTATGGCTTAAATAATACCCATTTGTTAGATTTCAAAGGGAAGAATGTAAGAAACATGCCTCTTAAATTCTTATGTTAGTGTGTCTACATTGACATTTTCTACATATTAGCTTATTTCTTTAATGTGCTTATATTTATTTGACATCATCCTTGAATCTTAATCTCAGTTTATGATTATTCTATAATCTTGACTACTTCTATATAAATATGCCTGCTAATCTGACCAAACTCTCCCTTTTTAATAAGGAAAATAGTAGTGTTTGCATTAACATACTTAAAAATATATACCTGTTTTGTAAGGCTATTTATTTCTGTAACTCACATTGCCTTTTGTCTTTATTTTTACCTTTCCCTAATATCAGTTTATATTTTGTGTTTTTGTAAACTGATCTTCAAAGTTCTGATTCTCAAGTTCTTCTCTGTCATTTTTGTGACCTGCTGTAAAGCTTTTTTTCCTCCTTTTTTACATTGTTATGCCTTAGTTGTAATGTGTTAGCTGAAATGGAATGTTCGAGATATAAGGCATGTTTTTAATTGGGAGTATAATGTCTATGTTTGTAGCCTATTGTACATACTAATTTGAAATAGTAATTAGGTGGTTGTAAAAACTTAATTTTCATATGCAGTTTTAACCTCTTCCCATCCTAGGTTTTAGCAGAGCTATTAATAGAAGCAGATTTTGCTACTTTGAATTACATTTATAATTAATTGTTTTGTTTTTGGAAATCATAAAATAACACAAATAGGGACAAGAACAAAAATGAATTTATGTAATCTACCAATAGATTTTTCATTATATACTACGTATATGTTTTATTTTGTCTCTTAGATACTAATATCTGATATTTCTGGCAATTTAATGCCATTAGTAAGTGACATATGGGTAGTTTTAATCTTTCTCCATGCATTCTACTTGAACTTGTTCCAGCATTTTAATTATCCATATACAAAATATTTTTAAATTATGTTTATCATTAGTAAAATCTCCATATAATATTAAATAAAATATTTCCATTAATGTTCAATAATCTCATTTCCCTCCGTAACTTTTATGTTTAGTTAGGCAGAAGCATAATTAAAAAAAAAACCCTCAAGGAGCAGATATTCTTAATTCACAGCTTCATGTTATACATAAAATTATGTTTAAAAAACAGAATTTTAAGGTTTATTGCATTTATAATATAACTTGGTATGTTGAAGTTTCTGCTAAAGCTGTAATTGTCTCCATTAAAATGCATATTTGCTGGAAATCATCTGTAAATGTAATAAACGTTTAATATATGTGTATAGGCTATTAAAAATATTTTATTAAAAAATCATTTAATTTGTTTTTTTCAGTCATTCAACATATAATGAGCATCTACTAGGTTCTAAGTACAGTACCTACTAAATACTCAGTATGCAGTGGTGGATTAAAACTGTTGCTCTTGTGAACTTTACCTGAACAGTGATTGAAAGACTTAAAGAGCACCTGAGTCATCTGATTCAGGATAGGTAAAAGGGAAGTGCCATTGCATCTGAAATAAGAAAGTTAGGATATACATAGTCTTTATGTTTTCTTTTTTGGGCAAATGCAGAAATCAGTATCTCCCATGGATGGCCTTTCACTGTCCTCCTATGAGTTATGGGCCTTGGTGGTTTTAAGATCACTCCAGGAAAGCAGAAATAGGAGGTCTAGGGCTAAGGTCTGGGGATAGCAAGACTGAGAATGCATTAAATGGCTCTTTATGCCATTTGAGAACCTCAGGGTTGTGGGGAAAATAGGTGTCTATTTGACAACATTAAAACTGGCTTTTCTTTTTTATTTTCTTCATTGGCCTTGTGTAATATTTGTAATTTCCTGCCTCTTTAAGAGCACAATTTTAAAGTTAAGGATGGGGGAGACCTATAAGTATATATTATTGAAATCCCAATCTTAGTCACCTTAGGGTATTCAAGTGTTAAGATTTTTTTTTGGTTTCAAAACTTTCTTTATAGTTTTAAAACTTTATAATTTAATGTATATTAAATATAAAATTATGCTATAAATATACTTTTTCTTCATTTGATTTACATATTATAATGCTTTTTTGTGTGCTATAGTGCAAACTTGGATGAGGAGGCACAGGCTGGTACCAGTTCACTACAGGTAATGTTGGATCACCATCCTGTTGCCATTACAGTGGAGGTGAAGCAAGAAGAAGACATTAAACCACCTCCTCCACTGGTTTTAAATTCTCAACAAAGTGATACTTTAGAGCAAAGAGAAGAACATGAATTAGTACATGTTATGGAAAGATCCTTGTCGCCTTCACTTTCCTCTGTTGATATGAGAATGACATCGTCTCCATCTTCTATTCCAAGGAGAGATGATTTTTTTCGGCATGAGAGTGGCGAACACTTTAGGTCACTATTAGGGTATGATCCTCAGATCCTGCAAATGTTGAAAGAGGAGCATCAAATAATTTTAGAAAACCAAAAAAATTTTGGATTGTATGTTCAGGAGAAGAGGGATGGATTGAAAAGAAGACAGCAGCTAGAGGAAGAACTACTAAGAGCAAAAATCGAAGTGGAGAAGCTGAAAGCAATTCGCTTACGGCATGATCTACCTGAATATAACAGTCTCTAAGATTTTTTTTTTTTTGGTCAATCTTGCAATTGGCTAATTTTGATTTTGGCCAAGTTACTTTAATCTGGGAGTATCCTGAAACAGAATACATGTTCTTAAAAAATGTTGTTAATCTCTATTATGGAAAAACTTTTTTGATATAATTTTCTAATTATTTTATTTTGAGATATTAAACTTTACTGATTGATTGGCATGGTTATAGTTTTTATTGTCTTTTTTTTTCCTGAGTTTGTTGACCTTACAAAAGATATTTTATTCTGATCATTAAGATATACACAAATACGACAAACACATATTCTTTCAAAATTCTGAGTCTTTAACATTTTTAGTTAGAACTTTGAAAACTGTAGTTAAAGATTTTTAAGTCAGTCTAATTTAGAAGCTATAGTAACCTAATACCAAGACGCTTGTCTGTATGATATTGGTTTTATACTTTTATCTTTTGAAGGAATAAATCCTAGGATTTTAGAGATGGAAGATATTTGGAGAACACTTTTTCTGTCTCTGCACTTTTAGAGGTAATGAAACAGAAGTCCAGGGAGAACTCAATGATTTATTTTGGGTAACAAAGCTATTTATGGCAGAGCAGGGACCAGCACTTAGTTTTTCTTTGTGTAATTTTCCTCCCACTATTCGATAGAAAATATTCTCTAGATTTAAATACTAGAAGTAGTTGTTTCATTAAAATTGTTTTTTAAGATTGTTAGGTTGTGAAATCAGGAAAATTGTATCAATTACCCCATTCTCTCTCTATTTTTGGTCCAGCAAAATAGATAAGGTATTCTATTGATGCTATTATATAATTTGGCTGTGTGATTAAAGACATGTTTTAATTCATTTTAAATGTCCTGTTCTGGAAAAAATTTCTTTCACAGCAAAAATCAGAACAAAATTAAAATTTTATGTTTTTTAAGTATCGTCCTTTTAGTATTTGTGGAAATAAAACCTCAATTCTTAAAGCACATATATTAAATTTGTATTAAATATCTAATAAGTATTTACTTAAGAATTTCTATTTTTGCTGGGGTTCTGTTGAGAAAGGATTTTTAAGCCACGTTTTAGAATGGGGTTGGTGGAATTTCAGCAGTGAAGGGGAGCATGGGTGTTTGAAGTCAGAGTGAGAAACTGGAAAAAAGACAAGGAAATCGGAAAAAGTGGATTGGGTGTATAAGCACAAATGCAGTGCTAAGCCAGTGATTTTAAGTGAGTGTAGAGAGAGTTTGGACTATGGTATCCTGGACTAGGAAGGACATCTCCCTGGACTATGTAGGACAGCTGCTGTTTAGCTCCAGCAGAATTTTCACATGCAGGAGAAAACCAGAAATCTACATTGGTTTAATGCAGAATTTTCCAATTTTAAAATGTTTGCAAATAACTCATGCTTTCAAGACATTATACAGACAACATGTGAGTGGGCCTCATTGAACCATTCGGCTTCTACTTTGTGGCCTTTGGAGTAGAGCAGTAGTTTTCCACATATGGGTCCTGACCAGCAGTATCAGCATCACTTGAGAACTTGTTAGAAATGTAATTCCAATTCAAACTGAATTAGAAACCTTGAGAATGGGGTCAGCAATCTCTTTAATAAACCCTCTAGAGATTCTGATGCATGCTAAAGTTTGGGAACCAGTGAAACAGAGTATTTTAGAACCTCACTTGGTGCCTAAATCATACTAGTCTCAAAATTTTTGTTGAAGAGCAACAATTTTTGTTGAAAGTGAACTGAGGGATATAAATTTGGATGATGGTTGGTACCAGATTATGAATTACATTAAATACTATTTACAATGAGTCAGACTTAACTGATCATACAATGGGAAGCCATTGAAGGCTTTGTATTAGGGGACTAATTTGATTATAGTTGTGATTTAGGAGGAGTGGCATTTAGGGACAGGTATTGAGAGGAACTTAAATCAGAAATTTAAATCATGGCTATAGAAATAGAAAAAAATATAAAATGAACTCTTAAGGTACGATTTTAGCATGTTGACTGCTTAATGTCATTGGTTGGATTGAAACAAGGTGTTTTATACCTGGTAGAGTTAACTTTTTTAATTATAAAGATGTCCTGAATATATAACATGGCATATCATTTTGACAATGTTACCTTTTCTCTTTAATCTGTGCTATGATATCTCTTTGAGTCTAATGAATTTTGTAATTCTTAATTTGAGGTAATGTTTCACAGTATAATTATAGTAAATACATCTTTGCATTAGTAAGCTTTATTTTTTGAAATTGTTGAAAGCAAATATATGAGATTTAATTCACTTTATAGTTTCAGCATGAATTGATAATGGAATGTTCAACTTGAATGTTGGCTTTGTACAGCAAATCAGAGTTTTCCCAAGTGTGTTCTGTGGAACACTAATTCTATGAGATGTTTCTAGAAAAGACATCTTTTTTTTGGTCGTTAAGTTCTGAAATAATAGTGAAAGGTAAAAATTATGTATACACAAAATTGCCCTTGAAAATTCCTTTGCTGATCATAAAATAGCATAAACACAGTCTGCTACAATCACATTTTTCTCCAGCATTAAGATTGCTTTTTCTTTAGTGTGTTAGATGACACAATTCATTAGCATTTAAGGGCTATATACAGTAAGAAACCTATTTGTACATAATTTTAAACACCAGAATCACACTCTGAGTTTACGCAGCAATTTTTCCAAGTCAGTCTTTTTTTCTCCAAGTCAATCTTGTTTAATTTTAGTTTGCAAAAGTTTAAATGCATATAATTCTGCTTATTGTGTACCTTCCCTTTTATAACCATATTTAGCATAGTATAGTTTATGAGAATTCCTGTACAAAGAAAATTATTTATTTGACCATATAATCCTTTTCAGAGGCTGTTTATTGTCTTACAGAGTATCTTAGGGTAATTTGGAACCAAACCTTTTTTTTTCTTCTTTCTCACATTGAGACTTTTTTGAGTTTGGGGATTACTTACCAACTAACATTAGCAGCTTTTGTTGAGGACAAGTTTCATTAAGGGGAATATATAGGGGAAATTTTGCTACTACCAGTGGAATATACACTTGTCTCTCTATCTGCAGGTTTCACATCTGTAGATTGAACCACTATGGATTGAAAATATTCAAGCAAAAAAAAATTAACAATACAACAATAAAAAGTAATACAAAATTTAAAAATACAGCATAACTGAGGTAGGAGTTGGGCTAACACCCAATTTTGGGGCTCACCATCCTGCATCGTAACTATTTATGTAGCATTTACGTTGTATTAGGCATTGTAAGTAATCTAGAGATGACTTAAAGTGTATGGAAGGATGTGTGTAAATTGTATGTGAATACAAACATTTTATATAAGGGACTTGAGTATCTGTGGATCTTGATGGGGTAGAGGACGTCCTAGAACCAATCCCACCTGGATACTGAGGGATGACTATAACTTAAGCCACCAGACATCCTGCATACCATAGACACTTGTTTGGGGGCCATGAGCTTTAATTATAAAATGTAATTCTGGGTGAACACAGAGAACAGTGATTTTTTTTTTTTTAATGTAGACTTGATTCTGTAGAAATATATTACATTTGAGAATATACTAAATAAATAGATTATTTCATCTAATACATTAGTAATTCAGATAGAGGATAGCCACTTTCCTGTCTTTCTGTTATCCATATGAATGTAAATGGATATGTTGTTATAACTTATGATTTTCTAAACTAGCTGTGATTTGTAATGACATCCTGAGAAAAGTCAGTGAAACTCATTTCTAACAAATGCCATATTTCTTAAAATAGTCAAATTAAGTATTTTTCTTTTTTGTGTGATATCAACTTGGTGTTATTTTTTTTAAGGAGTCACTCTATCCTGTTCTATCTTTACCTACGTGAAAATGTTTAAAATATGAATTTTTTTCATGTGCCTTCTTTTACAGTAATGTCAGATTTTAAATACACATGTTTAAATAACTTAGATTGTAATAAATTACTGTAGATAATGATGGTTAAATGCTTTGTTAACACATGTTCTTTTAAATACAAGATAATACTTTGTACTGATTTGTGTACTTCTTTTGTGTGCCGTTAAGACAAATAATTCAGTACTGTAGCGATCACATTTTTTGATGAGGCATAATTGAAATACATTTATTTAGACAATTATAATAGATGCCCAATGTACCATATTTAAATATCACATTTCATTTTTTTTTTCAAATGTTAAGAGCCACAGCTTTTCAAAATCAAATATTTGATGGTGAATTGATTGTAAATACTTTAAAATAATTAGATGAAATACGGTTGCATACTTAAACAAAAGAGTAACTTCTTAGAATAAGCAACCTAATTAAACATTAACAGTCATGCAAAATCTTTGTATACAATTTTGAGAAATTGTTCAATATATTTTTATATATCTTTTATATTGATTAAAGCTAGTAGTTATAATTTGAGGATATTATTTTTAGTTTCCAATTGCTTTGTAATAGTGGAAAGCAAAATAAATGAGTACATAAAAATAAAAATACCACCAGGCATGGAGGCTTAGGCCTGTAATCCCAGCACTTTGGGAAGCCAGGGTGGGCTTATTATAAGGTCAAGAGATCGAGACCATCCTGGATAACATGGTGAAACCCTGTCGTTACTAAAATACAAAAAATCAGCCAGGCACGGTGATGCGTGCCTGTAGTCTCAGCTACTCGGGAGGCTGATGCAGGAGAATCACTTGAACCCAGGAAGTGGAGGTTGCAGTGAGCCAAGATCTCTCCACTGCACTCCAGCCTGGTGACAGTGAGACTCCGTCTAAAAAAAAAAAAAAAAAAATACCACTCATATCAGTCCAGACAACTTAAACTAAAAGGATATATAATTATAATAACACTTTGCTAGCAGGTCTTTTGTGTTTTAAAATGTATGTGTGAATTCACCTTTATTTTATAAAGTTTTTTTTTTTCCCCTAACATTTTATTAAGAAACACTTCAAACATACAGAAGAAGTTAAAAGACAGTTATAGTAAGTACTCATATACCTATCATGTAGATTCTGGAATTAATGTTTTGCTATATTTGTTTTATCACATATTTATCTGTCCAGTTCTTTTTTTTCTTTAAGGGAAAAATGTTACTTCAAGTTGTAGAATTAGAATAATTTATGTCTAAGTATTTCAGCATGAGTATTACTAGAGTTCAGTATTTATTTGTGCATGTTTGTTTTTTAGGTAAGA